AGACACAAGATCAACAACCATTCCATAGAGCAAGAAAAAAGAGAACCAAACCAGAATACAAAATTTACATCAAAGATCGTAAAACATAGAAGTTATTTGTCAGCACTGACCGTAGTTTTACAAACCAGCCGGGAAAAAAAAATGCGTTTCTATCCATAATCTTATTGCTTTCATAGCAACAAGTTAACAGCTCAAAAGAAGGAGGGAAAAAAAGCTGTAATAATACGCTTTGGCAGACAAGGGTTGAACATGGTTATCCCACAAAACAGCACGATAGTTTTCTGTGTATATTTCAGTCTCTGAAGAATAAATGAGAGAGAATAAGAAGAAAAGGTCCACAGTCAACAAGTGTTTCCAGTTCCCTTTTTTTGAGAAACGTCGAACCACTCATCAAATATATCAAACAATCCACTCGATTAATCATCTCATTTACAAAGTTCTCCAAACAGCTCAGTCTCACCCAAAGGGAGCACATTTTTGAAAAAGCATTTGTAACTTTTAGTCCACTCAAATTTCGCATCATCAAACTATGTACACAACCCAGAAATTTCACTTTTACCACACAAGAACAAAAATTATATCCACATTTCGTCTGTCCTCTTTACCTAACAAATACTTACACAAACCAGCAAGTGTAAGACATCACAATATAACGAGACAAAAACTCATAACAAGCTACATCAACAGAATGTATGGGTTCTATATAAGCAAAGCACTGGAGAAAAAAACGAAAACAACGTAAGATAACACAAGAGAGGGAATATAAGTTATAACTGTCTCTACGGCAAAAACTCATTTTCAACAACAACTCCGGTTCAACTACTAATGAGCCGTTAAAGCTATATTTTAATGAGGAGCTGACGAATAGAGACAGCAGTAAAAAAGTGCACTGGACCTTTTCAGAAAAGTGACCTGCCGGAAACCTCTTAACAGAGCATGTACAAATGAAACCATATCCCGTCTGGCTATCATGACAGATTGCAATGATTTACAATGCTTATATAAGTTATTCATTCCCATCAACACAATTCAGATCAATAAGGCAAGGTAGGAAGCGCCTCAACACTACCTGCATGGGTCAACCCGTGATGTGGGACACCCCTCATTATACAAAGAAACAGAGATAAATGATTACATACCTTCCACATGAATCAAACAAAATGTATTCTGTAGATGGAAACCAGTTTTTAAAAAATATTCAATACCTCTGTAGCATGTCATAGTAGTGTGCATTTCCACATCCTTCTTTAATGTCAACTGCTGATGGTCTATCAGCGACAGGATACAAAAATCAGGGGTTACACAAATTTGGACAAGGTCCTTCAAGAAAGAAAAGCTGGAACAGGTAATATTTTCTGACTATTTGGCGGGCCCAGTTTTGACCTAGGGTCAAGCAATTCAAAAAATTTCAGTTGCTGACATAGATGGGTAAAAAAAAAAGACAACACTGATTCTATGGGATTACTCAAGCGCATAGGGTTTGTTGGGCCGGAACTTGCACTATGCTTTTTATTATTATCTCAACTCATAAAACAAGGGTATGTGTAATCATTCTTTCAACAACAAGTAAGCCTTTTCCACATTAAAACTAAAAGCTGCATGAACTCATGTTGTTTCAGAAAGCTAGGGAAAAAGAGCAACAGACATCGAATGCACTAAACTGTGACCAGTGAATATGGAATAATCAGATCAATGAAAATGCATTTCATGCATCAACCCAAATACAAACATAATTGTTACGACAATGAGTAAATAATGATGGAAAATGCACCTCAAACAAGAACAACTGAGATCAGACAAAGTAAATATGATGTGTACACGTGAATGACATTGCGCAGTGCGGACTATGTTCCAAACACGTAGTTCTAAGAGCAAGCCATGGAAAGTGCAAGCACATTGAGCTTACTATTGCCAGATGACTTAGACATTCCAAAAGTTCTCTCGATGGTTTAAAAAGAGACGATCATTTATCAGATATGAATTATGGACATTTTCTGATATTTGACTTTATGCTTTATTATCAATATCATTTAGCAGAAATACAATCTGAGCTGGGACCAGAATTTGGGTGTTTTCACATTCACACCTAGGCTCATTCGGAGTGTGATCGATGAATATTTGAAAATTGGCCACACAATTTCTCCAACATCTAGAGTGTCACCAGCTTAAGAGGTCAGCACTACATGACCACACATCAGATTAAAGCATAATGATGGGCCCTATCTGGTTATCCAAGAGAACATGGTCCCAGAAAAAGATTTAGTTTTCCTAGCCATACAAAGCACCCTTTAATTAACCATTATCATCTTTAGACCACAGATCAGATATTGTTTCTCCTTCTATGTGCCTCTTTTAACTCATAAAGAAAATTCTCACCTTCAATATTATTAATCACCCCAAATTGTCGGGTACATTTTTGTGCGTAACTTCAATTGATTAACATCAAGGAACCACTAAAGAAAAAAAAATTAGGACCCAGGGAAGAAAAAGAACTTACAGAAAACCATACACCAACTAAGAACAAACTTCAATAACATTCTCAAGTACGCAGACAGATGAGGAACAATCTTCAGTCATTTCACAACACAACGCAGACACCCATGCTATAGACAGCCTCACAGCATGACACACGCTGTGAACCACATTTGCCAACATGTTTCTCCTTTCTCCTGAGAATAAACATTTTATTAAAATATTGTCTCGCTTCCATTTCAAACTTCTGCCTCTAACCTCTGACCTACAGCCGACGAACTCAGAACGACACCAACCCACAATCAATGCAACTCGGATAAAAACAGAAACAGGGCGAGTTCCGACAGATACGAGCAATCTTTGCCATCAACAACAGCTGGTCGAGACTCATCCCATGCAGCTCTTCTTGATTCCAAAAAAACCCAAGAAAAAAAAACAAAAAACAAAAAAAACAACGCCGAATCATCACCTCTCTGTATTACTATCATTACATATTTCATGCACCCTAAACGCAGCATCCTCCATTACACAGCTCTCTTCACTACAAGCGGAGCAAATATCACATTGGTGTAAAAATTTACCGGTATGAGTGAACGAAATGAATCTTGGTGCTCAGCTACCCGTTCCAAAATTAAACTTCAGTCGTGATTGGTGTTTGTTTAATTAGTTTTTGATCCAGAATACACCATCGTAGAACATGTACTGACGAAAAACAAAAAACAAATCCCAAACAGTGCTGTGAAACTTCTCGATTTACATTCAGTCTGAGGGCTGATCAAATGGGAGTCAAAACAAGACTCCCGTCAGTTGCAAAATCAGAGCTTTTTTTCCCTTCACTGGACAAATAAAGACTGCACTGACCTCTTAACTCAATTTCTACATCTTCTCATAGTTCTGTTCTTTCTACTTGACCTCAACATTACTAAGTGTACATTATCAATTTTGCTGGTTCAAAATTATGGACTGTAGTTTCACTGTCCGGCAAAATGACCCTTGTTAACTTTTTAAAGTGCGTATTATCACTGCTTTCATGATCATCATTTGCTTCAGAAAAGGCAAATGGATACACTTTTAAAAATCCAGATTAGGGTCAATTATGAGTAACCATACAATAGAAAATGTGCTAGAGGTCCGTAGATGTGAGTACGTTCTCCAGCAAGTTGCTTTCAAAATCAGGGGGAAAAAATTCCGTTGCTTTCTACACTTACAAATGCAGCACGTAGGAACCGAGATAACAGACACTATTGCTCTTCCTGTGGGGAAGGTGTCAGACAAGAGTTTTCAAAAAGCCAAATCACAACCAATAATAGTTCTACTGAATATTCTGTTTTCTCATCAGAAGATTTACTGTCTGTAGCTTTGTGCATCAAGGAGAAAGTGCATGTAGCTGTCTCATGACATCATGGGTCTATCACAGTATTGAACAGTCAAAAAAAAAATACTGTAATTTTTCTTTTCAAGCACTGTTGGGGGGAAACAAGAACGAAGATGAGGAAGTTTACCCCCTCCCATCATGTAATAAAAATTAATAAATGGAAATAGATGCAAATTTATAACTTTCTGAAATCAAAGTGAGATTCCGTGAAATAAGTGTGGAGAGAAATGGTGACTGAATCCCCCCCCCCCCCCCCCCCCCATATTTCAAAGAGATCAAAACTATCAGACGAAAAACAAAGGAGACAAAAGCCTAACTTTGCGTCTACTTTGATCTATGAAAAAAATACTAACCAGAAACATTTTTTTCTACAAATAAAATTCAAAGAGTAAGAAACCCCCCCCCCCCCCCCCCACCTAGAACATATCTCCAAAAATTTTTCCGCATGTCCCGGACGTGAGCATTTTGAATTAAAAAGCATACCTAAAACCTCTGCATCGTCTAGAAAACCGATTCCAAGAATATCTTTCCTTATTCCCTTTATTTCTCACCTTAACACATTACACCCTAACTCGCCCGGGATCGCCCGGGAATTCCCTTACGCGCTCCACCCTGACTCGCCCGCGCCGACCCAGCGTCTTTAGAAACGAAAGTCTCGCCTTGACGAGACTCTGGGGCCGGGATTTTGATTTGCATAGTATAGCAAAAAGTTTCTTCTTTCGTTTGATACCGAAACGAAATTTTTCGGGCCAGTAGTTTTAGTATTAGAGCTGATCGAAGTGCGATCGCGTTACCGACACTTCGAAGGTGTCTCGACTTGTTGAAAAGCGACACAATTGAGTTCGAAAACGGAAATAACGATGGATTTGAGCAAAAATGAGCATGTGACAAATCAGATGGCTCAGATTTTGATGAAAACGTTGTAGGAAGAGTTTGGGGCGATTCCGATTGATCAGACGGAGAAAATCTAGAATTTAGATCTAGGGCCCGACCGCGAGGCTGAGAGTGAGAGTGACGGGTCGGACACCCCGATTGAACTAAAGTTAGAACATTTCCAACAGTTTGCGCATACATAAAGTTATATTTTTCTGAAACTACATTCAGTTTTCTTTTTAACTTTTATTTTTTCAGGATTTTTGGAATTTGTTTAGTATTTTTAAAATGTGTTTTTTAAAGGCCTGTATTCACGGGAGGTGGGTTCTTTCCCCTTGCTTAGGATCTAGGAATGGACTTCCCGTCCAGGCCCTTAGGGTGTAATGTGTTAACACAAAAATGCTGGAAAAAAAACCCACCAAAACAAAATCTGGATGAAAACAAAAAGCTTCCCGACAGAGATCAAGCTTTTCTATCACCATCCTTTTCATCACATGAGGGCAGGGGGGGTGAGATCCTCCATTGGTGCCATATCAGATTCCAATAACAGTTTTGTCAGAGACCAACAAAATGACTAGGACAGACACGAGCTACTATTGTAGGGGCTTATACAGCAGGGTGGTCACATACTTTTTCCTGAACCTGTGGGTCGCACTCAGCACCATCACGCCATCCTGAGGAGCAACACAACAGTTTGACATTCATCAGTAAAAAGAAAGAAAGAAAAAAGAAGAAAAAACAAACAAACAAAAAACAAAACATTCTCGATTTAAGTGCTCAAAAGCCCAAAATACTAGACTCAGTTGAGTTTTAGTAGAGGTTTTACGGCGCTCGCAACTGCATAAAGTCATATGAGCACCAGAAGAATAGATGAGTTACAAGAGAGAAGCAAACATAAAAAAAGAAGAAGGGGAAATAAGGACGATAGATGTTTCATAGGAAAGAAGAAGCAAACCACACCAGAGCACCCGCCAACCACCCACTTACTAGACTCACTCACTCGCACCTAGTAACTATATTCAGCCACCATTAGTATGACAAATTCAAATCAATATTTACACATCTAAGAAAAGCACTTTGCAAAGCAGCAAAATACTTCGTTCCCCACATCAACATTATGAGGACTCTCATGAAAGTGAAAAAGCAGGCATTATCACATTTTGAAATATGTCGAGTAATGCCCCTTGCATTTGACTTCATTTCTTTATCTTTCCCTTCACAGAATCTCAAGTTGTAATAATGGTCAAGAGTTTTCGTCAGAAAATTGAAAGTCTCTCTTTGAGTGACAGTTTTTCTACATAACTGAGAAAGTGTGATTATGTCTGTTCTTTCAGTCAAGTCCTCATAGGTAAAGTATTAGTTTAGTTTTAGTAGAGGTTTTACGACGCTCGCAACTGCATAAGGTCATATGAGCGCCAGAAGATTAAAGGTGTTACAAGAGAGTCACGAACATAAAAAAGAAGAAGGGGAGATAAGGACGATAGATGTTTGATAGGAAAGAAGAAGCAAACCACACCAAAACACCCGCCAACCACCCACTATGTGAAGTATGCTGATGAAATGAGTTACTTCTCAGGCCCAAGCCTTATGGAAATAGATACATCACACTTAAAGGTGAAGTTTTTACAATGTATTAGTATGAAATAATAAAAGGCACGTTAATGTTATGGTTAAAGAATATGGCATCACTATAGAAAATCTACAAAATTTACCCTAGGGTCGATTCTTGGCCAATATCTCCATTTGTGGATAGCAAGAAGTAACTCATTTTGTCAGCACGCCCCACATATATATATATATCTGAGGCATCAGCGCTAAGTTAAATTTTGGAAAATTATAATAACACTACAAACTACTCTGCACTTACCTTGATTGACAGAGCATAGAGGTGATTCAACATGACATGATTTGGTTCTGGCAACAAAGATGGTTCAACCTGTAATATCAAGGTAAAGGTAAAGGTAAAGAAGACTGGGTGATGCACTTTACTTAGACATGATCAAACATCTCTAACTCACACAGCTAAAGAATCAACACAATAAGGTTCACAAACTGCTTTTAGAGTGACACAAAACAGCAGATGTTCCAGTGCATGAGTGAAGAGAAACACATCGACACATTTATGGTAATTTAGTGCTGAGAAAAAGCGAGACAGACAGAAACAACACTGCAAAAGAAAAGAAGTATGGTCAATGTATACGTTGAGACAAGTCAGCACAACAACTGACCTATTATGGCTGAAGCATAAGAAGAGAGGTAGAAATAACTACGTCCAAATTCCTTATTTTCCGAAAAAGTGAATTTTTATGGCACAAATTTATGAGACACCATAGGACATGGGGATACTCTACGTATTCTGTAGGAACTGGGGATGTGGCAAAACTATTAGGCAGATTGGTTCGATAGTTACATACATAGCTATTTGAATGCCCCGGCTTTGCAACTTTAGGCATTTGGTTAAAATGGACGTAGTCACTTCTAGTTCTCAGTGAACATTATGTACATTATAACATGATGAAATAAAAACTATAAAACCCCACCATAAATCTCGTTCCCCCCCTCCCCCCTCGCAATTCATTATGATTATAATACTAAAACCCAGCTCTAGATGATCTCCAAAAAGACCTATCACATCTAATATAAGATCTCAGAAATATTGTTTTATGAGCAACTCAAGAAGACACCCCTTTTCTATGTCATGGCATCAAGTCCAAGGGCAAGGACTCAAATGACTGTTGGATTCACAAAGTGAAACTATACTAGCACCAATAGTGAGCAGGATTTTATCTCCCAACTTTCTGGCACACGCACAGCCAAATACTATGAAGGAGAACATACCAAAGTCCACATATATGCACTGCACACACACAAACACTCACTCTTGTGCAACCATTCCCTACTTTTTGATATCATGGGGTAGCAGCACAACTATCACAACTCTGGGATTCTTTAAAATTATATTGGTGGGTTAAAGAAAAACCCAGATTTTTCTCCACTACATTTATCTACAAAAAGTAGAATTTCAATTTAAAGTGTTTTATTCACAAAATAACTATGACTCCCAGGGTTTTTACAGGGAATGAAATAATGAATGTAAAAATGTGATTTTTTACCACCGCCCAGAGGTACGATGATATTTGAGATGGTACCCCCCAATATACATACAAACTGCAAAGATCAAATTCAGCGAGGCCACTTACGTGTGCAGGTGTGTCTTTGTTAAGGATGACTTGCAACAACTGTGGTGGCAGAAATGGAGGGCCGCTGTGCTTGCCCTCAGTGTGTCTAGGTGGAATGTCTTGTCCATAGTCAGAGGTGCCTCCTGTATCTTGAACAATCGTGATTTTTTATTAGCAACGAAGGTAGAAAATATGAAATTATATTATGTGAAGCGTGCTGACAAAATCGAGTTGCTTCCCGGATTCAAGCCTTATGGAAATAGATACATCATGCTTATAGGTGAATTTTTTGGCGGGTTAAAAAAACCTCAGATTTTTCTCCACTACATCTATCAACAGAATGTAGAATTTCAATTAAGTATGAAATAATAAAAGGCATGTTATTGTTAAAGAATATATAATATGGCATCAATAGAAATTCTACAAATTTGGCCCTGGTGTCAATTTTTGGCTAATACCTCCTTTTGTGGATTGCGAGAAGAAATTCATTTTGTCAGCACGTCTCACATGTTGTATATTACAATTTCAGTAGCAACAGATCAGCATTCATAAGAGACTTTATGATGGGTATTTTTACACATGAAGAGTCCAAGGGAAAAACAAGGAAAGTTCTGACAAGTCATAAAGAGGAAATCATCAGGATCAATTTTACTAAATTTTACACCCATAACTTCATTACTCTAAAAACATGGATTATTTATTCATTTACTTTTAATTACCTTTTCTATAAGCAATAACAATAAAGCAACAGTCAAACAAATGAAGTTATGAGTCAACAAACTTACACATTAATAAACTTACGATTTCCGTTTTGAGACTGCTCGTTTCCCCCCTGGACTCCTCAAATATAAACCCCTCCTATACACACGGCAAAACATTTCAAAGATGGAGTGTTATGTTCATTAACAGGACATCAATATATACATAGATGAAAGAAAGACTCGATTGAATGTTTCAGGGCCCCGTCATCAGAACTTACATCTTTTAAGAAGGGGTATCTTTAATCCCGTTTTCTAGGACAAACACAGGCTAGATGGGATACTATATCCCTGCAGAAAGACTAAGACAATAAAAACATCTTTCCCACATGGGAATTGATCTCTTATTTTTTGTGTGTGTGCAAAATGAAGAATCTGGCAGTCTCAGATACAAGTAAAGAAATATTTTTAAAAAGAAGCTAAATAATAATAAACTTAAATTTAACACCTTTAGTTTAAGTAAGAGTTTTACGGCGCTCGCAACTGCATAAGGTCATATGAGCGCGTGAGACACAAGTTGGTTCCATTCACAACAGTTCACTGCCCGGCTGGGCTCTGGTCAAGGATTAGATTTTAAAATGTAAAAAACTTGAGCATTTACAATATTTCCATCGGGTCTCTCCAAAGTCTAGACATTCTATTAAAATAAGTCAAATGGTATAATCTGTGTCGCACCTGACACAGAACAGCTTCTTTTCTCCCTGAAGGAGGTATTTATGTGCCAGGGACGTGTGTCCGATGTGTAATCGAGTAAAAAAGACTTCATCTCTTTTGGAGAGGCCAGAAGGTTTTGGTGGACCCAGTTTGGGCTTAAAGTTGTGGAGTTTGTAGTTGGTTTGTTTCTTCAAATGTGTCTTCTACAGACTTCAATATACCTTACAGTATTTGTGATGAACCATTTTAAAGCAACATACAAATAAAAACATACTCTTTTTGCCTGCTGTTCTCCCATCGATGGCCAGGGCTTCGAAAGCATCAAAGTCCTCTTTCTTGACCTTCATGGTATTGTTCTGGGTTCCAATATCACTGTTGGTCACAGGCTGAAAGACATAGTATACCAACATGTACAACTTTCCAGACAGACTCAGCTCCACTGACGAAAAAAAAATTAGGCTCCACAGATTTAGATCTTAATTTTTTTTAACACAACTTAAATTTGTGTCAATGGTAATACAGGAACAATCCATTATCACTGATAATTCAGTGACATACAAAATCCCCTTTATAGTTCATGTTTCTTTGCAAACATTTGGCATCATTGGGTATACTGTAAAAAGACAAGATACAAGACAAAAATAATCATCATCACACAAAAATCAAGCTTGTTTCTTCGAGAAGCAAGTTGAAGACCCGCGGACCAAATGAACTTTGTTAGAGTACATAGGCTGGCAAAATGAAACAATAACAGAAAAACACAGAGAGAAGGAAAATAGGTAGAAGAAAATAAACTTTACCAATGACACCCTCCACCCACTCCAATAAGCTTACACTTACATTGTCAAATCATCAAAATATTCAGTGTGGCACATCATGACATTTTGGAGTAAATCCATATAACCATTCACAAAACAGAATCAAAGAGCATTTAATTTACGTTAAAAAAAAAACAACAACACATCACAATATGCTTTGAAGAACTTTTTTAGTCAAAGCAATGAAATAAGTCTTGTTGACATACAGTCGTAAGTAAGTGCTCTATATTTTTAGTTTGAGTAAAAAGAATCAATTCAATGCAACGACGGTCATAAAGTGCAGGGAAGTTCAGAAGCAAAACAGATCGAAACAACAGTGGGAAAGAAAAGACAAAGGACCTGCCAGAAAACAATTGACTGATTGATTGATTGATTGATTGATTAGGTAGATGTTTTACGGCACTATCGACACAATTTGGGTCATTTAAGCGCCAACAGGTTTCACCGCTACAAAATCAGACGTGTTTTTAGTAAGAGTCTTTCGGAGCTCGCAACCGAACACGATCACACTATTTTCATTATGCTAAAAAGACGAACAAACATTTATAAATTTTTTTGGGTAAATATGGAAAAGGCTTATTTACATTTGTATATACAATATAAATTTCAGTGTATATATATATATACACCGATAACGATAACTATATATTTTCATATTCTATTAAATAGTCCAATTTCTTTTATATAACTAACCAGAAAATGAACATTTTATAAATACAACAGGGTTTTAAATGTATACTCACATCGCTTAAAGAGTTCACCCATTGCCCATCAACAAAAAACTTGTATTGATGATCTCCCTCAGGCAGATCAAGAATGGTGTAGAAGTCGCCATGGCTACAGAAAGAGCAACAAAAAAAAACCCAACTGTTTATTACAAAACAAATCAGACATGAAAATCAAAATAAAGACACAACCTGTAAGAAATAAATCACAAGTGCATCATGGCACACCAAAGCAACTTTGAAAACACTATATGAAATGACAGGGGTATAGTAACTGTACCTGTACTCCACAAAGGTCAAGGAGATAAAAGAAGAACATTTACCATTACACAAAGGTTATGGAGATAAAAGAAGACAATAAATAAAGGTCACTGAGATAAAATGAAGCAGTAAAAGGGGTGTGCTTAGAGCTATTACTTCGTAGAGCTGAAAAAATGTTTTTGATCACTGAGCATATATAAACCCTGGGCTGAGAATGGGTAAACTCAGCAAATGAGGAAAAACCTTTCAATGGATGAGAAAAGGCACGAAAACTTATCTGACAATATAGCGGAATAATAAATGTATGCTAAACCTTTTTAGATGTCAAGCCACAGACAGAACCAGGAGCCCTATAAAAAGAAGGGACTAAAATAGAAAAGACTTAGGAAGAGGACATGCAGTCCTGTGAAAAGTAAAAGTCTGTGCATGTCTTTGAATGCGACCAGTTTTCGTATATGTAAATAGTCCATTAAACAAGCAAAACAGATTCCAAAGTGTGCCATCGTGCCCTCATTGGAGCAAGCAGCAGCTTTCATTATCATTGAACCTGATAATGACGACATAAAACTTCCAATAGTCCTTTGTCTGTATAATGTCTATAACCAATCTCTACTCACTTTCACCAGCTGTGCATCATGATAACAAGTCTGCTGTGAAGTTTGTTCAAGTTCAAAAGAAGCATATTGAGTTGACACAACAACAGTTTTAGTGGTAGGAAGAGAAACACACAGACAGACCAAAGAGATGAGTAGTAAAGAAGTAGAACCTATCGATGGCATCTTCCAACTGTTGTGGAGTAGAAGTGAACACATGTCAAGCAAAGAAAATATCAAGATAACAATACTATATATGACTTAAGAAGTATTGATACGGAACACAACACAGAGCACTAAAGTTGCAACAATCATCTACAAAGTCCCAGCTGGACTACTCCTTCAAAACTACACAGCAGAGGTGCCAACTAGCTGTTCAATGAAAAATATCCTGAGCTTTTCAGATTCTGTGAAATGCCCGAGCAGGGACTCAAACTCAAGCTTGATGGGTCATTTGTGAGACATCGTGGAGAAATCCACACGTGAGACAGCGTGGTGAAATCAGACACTCGTCAAAATAAGGACATAGAAGAAACTGGCATTTTCCGGCTATTTTGATCAATTTTTTTTTGGGGGGGGGGGCTTAAACATCTTTTACATCTATTTGAGAACACATTTTTTTTAAAGTATGGATTTTGCTAAAAAATTATGACTAAAGGTACAAAAAATTTAAGTTTTCAGTTACCACTGCCCCTCAAGCTATGGAAATAACCAAACTTTGGCAGCCATTATACGCTAATTTTACCTCGACAAAAGGTGACTCCCACCTCCTTCAATCGCAAACATCTTGACTTCTATTCAGGTACACCAGGATTTTTTAAATATAAATGCAAGACAACTGAACAAGGTTTAAGATAATACCATATATATCTCAATATACAAAGAAGTGACAGGCACCAGATTCCATCGCATCTTGACATTTATTGTCTCCCATACATCTAGTGTCAAGATTAGCGGTAAACGAAGAAAAATATTTGGATATTTTCACAATTCTGGATTTGTGAAAGGAACAAAAGAGAAATCACCACACCATACAGTTTGCCATGGAAAACTACAATAGAACTGATATATTTCATTCTATCGCCTACTATCGGTGGGAGACTTGAGGGTGTAGGTGTCAGTGTCAGTGGTAGGTACATCATTACTTATCTTGTAACTTATCTCTGCACTGTCTCAGTCCCAGTCTGTTCTTCTTTCTCCTAAAATTAAATGACTGTCTTGTTATTGTCTCAATGTCAAAGGGCTGCTTCTTCTTCTTTACTCAAAACATCATGGCACTCACCTTTTAGCTAAGGGAATCTTTGTTTTCCAGTTATTGAAACTTCCAGCAACATATACTTCCTTTCCACCTCCTTCCCACTTGAACACGGTCGGCAGAAGTCTGTTAGTGGGGGTTTGAGTGGGTTCTTGACCAGGGGTGATTGTACTTGCACGAGCCCTCTGTTAAGAAATTAAAAAAAAACTCAGACTGATAAAGTGATAGTATTATAATATAAGGTCCAATTCTCAATCATATTTTTTTAGAAGTGTTTCATCTATAAAACAAAAAAAGAATAAACATGATATCTTGTACGGTAATTATAATAATGAAACATTATTACACTGCACTAATGGATATATCGCTACCAGTTCCATTCCGAACTCTCTCTCTCTCTCTCTTGCCCCTTTTAACTCCCAGTGGAGCACAGGCCATCAACATTTCTCCAGCAAAGCCTGTCTTGTGCATCCTTTTCTAGCTGTTTCCACGATGTCCTGCCTTTTCCATTTCCGCTTGTACCGTTCGCCTCCATGTCATCTTTGGTTGGTCTTCCTTTCTTGCATTTTCCTTGTGGATTCCACGTCAAAGCCTGTCTGATGATGCTTGTCGGGGGTCTCCTTGCGGTGTGCCCAATCCATTTCCATTCTTCACCTGTATGTCTTCTTTTACTAGCCTTTGGCATGTTCTTCCCCACAGTTGAGCATTTATGACTTGATAGGGCCACTTGATCCCCTCTATCCTTCTTAGATATCCATTTATGAAGCTCTGCAGTTTCCATGCTGCTGATGCTGTGAGCCTCCATGTCTCTGAACCATACAGTAGAACAGTCTTCACATTTGTTTTGAAGGTCCTCAGCTTGGTGTTGAATCCCAATTCCTAAGACATCCATATATTCCTGAGGATGATGAATGCTGCTCTTGCCTTTTGGATTCTGGCCTTGATGTCTTCGTCTGTTCCCCCTGCCTTGTCGATGACCCTTCCCAGGTAGGTGAAGGACTCAACATCCGCCAATGGTGCCCCTTGATGTGTGATAGGAACGTCGGCTGCATTCATTCGAAGAACTTTCGTTTTATCTGAGTGAATATGGAGTCCAACACTACGGGTGAAGGTCCTGAGACGACCTGTCTTCTGTAGCATCTGGGCTTAACCGTGAGAAAGAAGTGCCAAGTCGTCGGCAAAGTCCAAGTCTTCCAACTGACTGGAAAAGGTCCACTGAATGCCACCGCGTTGTCTCGATGTTGTCTGTCTCATTATCCAATCCACTGCTAATAAAAAGAGAAAAGGCGATAGCAGGCATTCCTGTCTCACTCCTGTATCACTTCAAACGAGTTTATCTGTTAAGACACACTTCTTAATCAATCTCACAAACTTGTCAGGCATTCTGTAGTGGCGCATGAGTTTCCATATATTGAGTCCCTAACAAGGCTGTCAAAAGCTTTCTCATCGTAACAAAGTTAACGTACATGGAAAGAGTACCACTTTGTGGACTGCTCCACTATTATCCTCAAACCATTCTGAACTGCTGCAACTGTATTACTGTATTCCAAAATTGGTATTTTATTTCTAAGAACAAGAAAGGTTTTTGGGAAGGACTTCCGGAACGAGCGACCACACCAACAAACACAATAAAGAAGAAACTATCCCCAACTCTAACCCTAACCAAAACCCTACCCCTCTATTCCACACTGTCTCATAGTGGTCGGAAGTCCTCCCGTTTTTCGTACAAAGAGTGGCAGAAATTGTCAGGCGCACAAACTGCCAGTGAACCTCAGTGACCAGTAGTTTCAGCTGAAAAAACCCAACAACCCCACAACAAAAGAGCTATGAAATTCAAGACAAATTAAATTAGATCTATCTTAAAACAACAAAAAAAAAACATTGACAAAACAACTGACAGCACCAACATCACAGCTTTGAGGCCTAACAGCTCCCCCATGATGAACTTCATCAAATAAGGATGGTAATTATGAACTACAAAGTCCCATTATAGGCTTAAATTGTAAAACTTAGAATCTTAGAACTTAAAGTGGTCCTTATGGTTGTCACCTAAAGAAGTAAACAATAAGCTGCCTTTTGGAAAAGGTAAACAATAACAACAACCAGAGTCAGAGGGTCAGACAGGACAGGGTGAAGCTTCCACTTCTGGTGGCCTAATTTTACTTGATACTGACAGAGTTTAAATTTCCTTTTCAACAGACTGAACTCAGTAGGCTATTTCAAGATCCAATCAAGCAAAAACAAAAGCTGAAGATTATGACAAGTTCTTGGCTTCAGGTTAGGAATATTCTGATAATTCTCAATGATAAGGCTTTTCTCTCCTTGCTCTCCAATGTGAAGGTCAGAAACACAATACGACTAAGAGAGGAAGATTCGAACATCTCACTTCCTATTTCTTGGCACACACATCTTCAACTGCAAGTAGAATAGAATAGAGAAGAGTAGAGTCTCGGTCACACTAACCTCTTCAACCAAAAAACTAATAAACGAATCATCATCCTTTGCCATTATTGGCAACCTACAAAAACAGCCCTTTTAGATCATAGTTTCAATAAGGAGAAAACAACAGTCGCGTTCCAGTGGTAGCATCAAGAGTCAAGATGTAGATCTAGCATACAGCACACTCTCCCTCCAATAAAAACAAGTGAGAGGTGTTTAGCATTTTTCGACCTTCACCTTGCTTATGGGAGTGAAAGGTTAAGCACATGTTTTCCACAAAATGCGCGGGGTACTCATCTAAAAATAGATCAGTTCTGATCAGTGCTCACGAAGATGGAAGAAATTATCTGGTTATCAGGGCATGTTCAAGTTCTGGGCAACACTTTTCTGTTACCTAAATGAAATAAGGCGACGAGAAATGAAGCTCTGCTTGGCCTAGATTTCAGAACATAGCGGTCACCAGGCCAAAGTCTCACGACCGCTGAAATTCGGTGATGGTTTAATCTGTTGTGTTCACCAACCCATGACAAACATCCTAATCACACTATCTAGAAATCTAGATCTATACTTATTTTTGTTTTGCCACGCTATAGATTATTCCTTTCTGAAAACAGTAGATCTACATCTATTGTATGAATGATAAACATAGAAATGTATTATAAAACCTAAAGAATACACACCCGAAAGTTGCCAGCAGGCTCATACACATCCGCTTCAGCGTACCTCGACGACGCAGTCAAAGTAGGGGCGGTGTCATCCCCTGACCCATGTCGTCCTTTCGCTGAACTGCTGTTTCCCATTGTTACCGGGACAGTTTCAACCCTTTGGTGCAAAGACAGTGACTGACACTGAAATTTGACTGCAGACCAGAATCAACTCCAGATGGCAGAGAATTATGTGACGACTGCTCACCTGATCCAGTGGTCAAAGGATGTAAACAACCCTCCCGTGCTGTATTATCAAGGTCTTGTCTCATTGGATTACACTTGCGAGGAAACACTGTCGTCTCAGATCCTTCAATGCCCTTGGAAAATGAAAGCTGGCTCCACAACACGGATTGGTCATAAATAACAAATAAATAATCTATCTAAAATAACACAAAAATCGAACAAAAACGCAACGCCATCACAGATATGTGTTGTTCAGTTACCAACTCCTGTTTCCTTCGGTAGAGGGTAAACAAAAATGGAGGATCATGTGGCGAGGCGATGTGCATTGTGGGATAGTCGTACTCGTATTTACTCGTGAACGGTTTTTCAGCCAATGAATAATCACAAAAACAGCCATCGGTATTTCCCGATCTCCCCGTTGTGGCACGAGCCTGTTTCGGGCCTCTCCGTACGTCAACAGGAAAGCACGTGCTTTTTGGCTCACGCACTGAACTGAGAGCGCTCCCCGACTCCGCTCTATTTCCGTACTCGGTCCCCAATGCACGCTCCCTCTCACAACATAACATGCGCTTCCAAAAGAACACTTTGCAGCTACCCCAAACTTTCTCTCAGAATTCGATCGAACGCACCATGTTGGTACAGAGGATTGGACTCACTATTTGTTCGTATGAATACAGAATGTGGTAGAGAAAGAGGGAGTTTTTGTTTTTGTTGTTGTTGATGTTGTTGTTGATGTTGTTGTTGTTTTTGTTTTTTGTTGTTGTTGTTGTTGTTTTGTTTTTTGTTGGGGGGGGGGGGCGTTGAAGAGGGTAGATCTACCTGCCAACCCTACAGAAAAAATCGGTTAGATCACCGACTTTTTCTGTCAAACTACCGATCCTCCGATTTTGAGAGAGCTAACGACTTCGCGTCAGCAAAGGCGAAGGGCCAAGGCTAGGCCTGAGTCATCCAAGGTCCCCCTTTTCTTTATCTTTTCTTCTTTGCTTCTGTTCTTTTTTGTTTCATTTGTGTGTGTGTGTGCGTCTATGAATAAGACAGGAACGGCACCAACTTCTATAGTGTTAATACATCTGGAAGGTTTCATATTTGTCATATATATATAATAATAATAATCTCTCTCTCTCTCTCTCTCTCTCTCTCTCTCTCTCTCTCTCTCTCTCTCTCTCTCTCTCTCTCTCTCTCTCGATATATATATCTCTCCTTCTTTCTTGTTTTCTTTCTTTCTTTCTTTCTTTCTTACTTTCTTTCTTTCTTTCTTTCTAACTTTCTTTCTTTCTTTCTCTCCACCCCTGTCTCTCCCTCTCCTTGTCACTAATCCCGAATTATTTTCTGTGTTTTTCCTACATTCCCTTACTCACTCGCTCTCTTATCAGTGCTATTTAGCTTTCTCTGGATGAATAACGTTTCCTAGTGACCTCTTTCCTCCATCCTCTCCCCGCGTCGATAATCACTGACATACGACGTGGCCCTCGGGGGTTGCCCTCCGTTTTGCAAACTGAATTAAAAAGGAATTTCTAGTCAGTCTTAGGTACCCGATTGACCTCCTGGAATCTCCAGCACGCTCCCATCTCTCAACTTGCGTTCGAGTGAGAGGTCTTGTTCGCTCTTTATCTTTCGACCTTATTCCATGAATGGTCAAATCTTGTTTGCACTTTACGGACATTGGCACGGAAACGAAAGCCTGTAAAACGACAAAGTCCGTCAGTGCGCAAAAAGAGATGGCTTTAAAAATGAATGTTTCTGATGTCAGCGTCAATGCAGAAAGCCCATCGATTTCACAGTAATTTCTGAGGTAATTGGTGCGCTTGGGCAAGGGTGAGGATAATTCGTTTCCTTACAAGTGCGAAAAGAGGTGAAAAAAGGGACGGTTTATGTGTTCTGCTTTCAGATTCAGCTTTTTGTATGGTGCAGAATAATCAAAATACTTTTATTATGTCAGCTGGCAGCTGGTGTTAATAATAGAAAATAGGAACACGTAAGGTGTTGGGGGGAGTGTGTCTGCTGTTTGATGAGTGTACGTGTGTGTGTGGGGGGAGTGTGTCTGCTGTTTGATGAGTGTTGGGGGGGGGGTGGGGGGCGGGGGGGGTCTTCGTAGGTAAGTGACATTTACAAATAGGGTGGTATTGCCGTAGATACATTCATCCTCTTAGGTAACAGTAACAGGCTTGTTTTCGGTTACCTTTCTTTCATTTTAAATGAATAAACGCCCTTCTAGAAACAAATACAAAAAGAATTTTCTAAGCCAGTCTGATAGTTATGGGATTTGGAGGTCTTTTGACGTTTACTAGACAAGACAAAAAGATTCTGACTGGAAAGAGAACAAGAAAGTACAACAGGTAAACATGAATTTGAGCCTCCAGACCCTAATTACTTCACACACCCGACGTCTCCACTCTCTGGAGTGCCAAGTGGGTCGTGGCGTCACGTGCGAAAAACACTTTAAACATAATTTTATGAAAGAGTCACATTTTACTTTTACCGGAAAACAAAGAACAGTGGGAGGAAAAAACGACACCCATACACCCCAGACAAAATGAAGTGTGTCGCCTCACACCAATTGTGGGTGGAGGGTGGGATGGGAGAGACGGGAGGGGGG